CCCCGTACACTGCAGCGCAGGGAGGCAGAGCAGTCCTGTCCATTGGACAGTTCAGGGTAGCCGGGGATTGCTCCAGCCAGGCTGGAATGGTCCCCTGCCCAGGATCCCACTTACTCGGTTAACCAGTAAACCAGTTCATTGATTAAATGGGATTTCACATCCCTAGCCCAGGGCAGCCCAGGGGACTAGTGGGAGGCATGCCACAGGCAGCAGGTGGCAGTCCCGGCACTCACTGGCAATGATGGGACATGCTGCCAGGGACTCTGGTTGCTACCCAGTGCAGCACAGTGGGACAGACGGACACCCTCCTCACCCCGTGCAATGTGAGATAGAGAAGAGATGGGATGGGGAAAGCGTGTGGGCCCGGAGCTAGGGGTGCTGCAGTGAGGAGTCACATGGAGGGGAGGACACACCTGCCCCCTTTTGTGTCCCTCTCCACTAGACACCAATGAGTCCAACAGTTACTAGAAGAAAAAAAAAACTGAAGTTTGGCCTGCCCTGGCCTTTCAGTCCTTCCTCTGCCTCATCATGTTTTACCTGCCTCGTCGGCTGTCAACAACACAGACAAGCCATTCCGTTCCTGCTTCATCCAGGCCAGGATTCAGGCCCAGTGTGGTAACACTGCCACAACTAACAAGCTGTAACTAGTGCATGGCTGTGTGGGACTAGCAGGCGCAGTGAGGAATCCCCAGTGTTTTGTCTTCTCTCTGTCACAAGGGGAAATGCCCTGTTTGTGTCATTATTTCTGCAGAAATTATGAACATTGATCCTGTCTCCTGCTTGGGGACTTTCACCAGGGAGACAATTGTTTGTTACAAGCTATTGTTCCCTTTGTTTATAAAGAGCTGAATTATCCAATTATGCACAAGAATCCATCACAAGGTTGTTCAAGAAATTTCAGGCAATTCCCCACCACACAGTGCTCCTGATTTTTTAGGCCAGATCCATGGAGGAGCAAGGAGCCCTTTAACCACATATGCATCCCAAAAATTGCTGGAAAATCTCAATGATTTCTCACCATACAGTTCCAAAGCAGTATTTCCTGGTCTTTCCCATGGCAGCATAACCCACTGAAATGCTTAAAAAACAACTAATAGTCTAGCAGCACTTTAAAGACTAACAAAACATGTAGATGGTATCATGAGATTTCGTGGACACAATCCATTCAGATGAATGGAGTATTAAAAGCTCAGATCCAAGAATAAATAGAGGAAAGGGGTAGGGAGGAAGGAAGGGGGAAAATAGTAAATTAGAGTGTTCAAGTTATAAGAAGCTAATAGAGAAGGCACAAATTGTACTGTGTTGGTAAACACTGACCAGGATACTGACTTGAAGCATCCTGGTCAGTCTTTACCTTTCTCTGAAAGGAGTCGGAAATCAAGGTATGTCTGTTTACACAGCAGTGTTATTGTGGAATAATTGACATTATTCCAAAATAACATCGTGCGTGTGTATTCTACAAACCTTTATTTCAAAATACTGTCACGGTGGAGGACTTCATACTCCACTCCTGTAACCCTCATTTCACATGGAGTAAGGGAAGCTAAAGGAAGAGTGTTCTTTCTTCAACTTCCTGCTGTGTAGACAGCGCCAAAAGCCAAATTAAGCTATTTGGACTTAAGCTACGCAACTGATGTAGCTAAAGTTGTGTAGCTTATTCCAACTTGAGACCTGCTGTTTAGAGGGGATTTCTTGTTCTAAAGTCTTGCTAGAATTTCTCACTGGAATTTTGCAAGTTTTTCCAGGGATAATAAAGGAAAACAGCTTCCCAGAAGCTCTGTTCACCCTTCAGCTGCTGACAAGAAGCCACATCTTGTGGAAGGAGAAGGAAACTAAGCACAAATGAAGGGGGGAGGATAAGGAGCAACTGAACAGGAAAGAAGTCAAAGTATGAAAGCAAAGGAGGGGGAAAAAACATCTCCTCAAGCCTCCTCAGAAATTTTTTATTTTTAATGTCTACAGTGTTCCAAATATGCTGAAGACCTTGCAAACACATACAGAGACCCACCCTGGGCCTGGAGAGGTTCCAGTCTCATCCTGCAAACACTTATTGCTGATTATGACTTACCATGGGACTATGAGACTATAAACAATGACAAACACTCCATTTGGTACTGGTAGATGTGTGGGTCACCTACTTCAGGAGTTCTTAAACTTCATGGCGTCCCTTTCTGACAACAAAAATCACCACCCAGAAGGGGGAACTGAAGTGTGAGCCTGCCCAAGTCCCACCACCCTGGGCCAAGCGGGGGCCCTGTAATCTGAGCACTGCCACTCCACCCTGGCTGGTGGGGCTCAGGCTTTGGCTTGGTCCCTGGCCCCAGCCCACAGCAAGTCTAAAGCCAGCCCTCGTGATCCTGTTAAAACAGGATTGTGACTCACTTTGCAGTCCCAATCCACAGTTTGAGAAATGATGATCTACAATTAGCTCAGCTGATTAAATGTTTGCAGGATATAGCCCTAATATAAAAATATACCGGACTACTTAAATAATTTCTATTTTTAAATATAATTCTCCTTCCTTGTCCTTTCTTATACTGTCCATTCATGTTTACAACCATTTGCTTCACTTTAGCTGTTAAATTCACTCATTGCTTTGTGACTGACTGACTGGTGATAGCCTTTACCACTTGCTTTTTAACTCTTATTTTAACCCTTATTTTCACTTTGAGGGGGTGAGAAGGTAAGCTGTCATTTTGTACAAGTTTTTTTTATTATTTTTTTATTTTCTGTATATTAACATTAATTATTCTTCTAATCCTTTGACATTTATTACTCATTTGCCAATCCTTAGCAAGTAATTAGTCCCTCAATGTTCTTTCCTTTGGCTGAGGAAGTACAACCGCTGTCCTAAAATCACACCCTGGAACATCCAAAAGACACAAGCACCACTTCCCCAGCCTAAAATAAACAAAATTTGCATCCACTATCTCTGAAATACTCTATGCAACCTACTGGATAATGAATCTCCAGTCTTTGCCTTGATACAAAAGAACACACTGATATTACTTTGGCCACCAGAGGGCTCTCATGTATACCACTGAACAGAAGTCAAATATGTGGCAAATCACAAGGAAAAGAAATCCACATATATTTGAATATTAAGAACCAGATCTTATTCTTTCATCTGTGCTGCTCCCATGGAAGTAAATAGAGTGTAGCAGAGGCATAATATGGCTCAAAGCCTATAAAGCTCTTACAATATCCTCCAGTGCAGTGTTTCTCAACCAGTGGTATGAGTACCCTTAGGGGTACTCGAGAGAAGTCTGGCGGGGGGGGGGGGGTGGAGATCACCGAATTTTTATTTTAAGTTTTACGGTGCTTTATTATTTTTGTACTTTTTACACCCAAAAATTTTGTCACCTGCCTGGCTACAATTAAGTTGTTTAAACAAATGTGTTGCATTGGTAGAAAAAAAAGTGTGAAAACTGTAGGTTCTGGGGGTACATATAATTTTTTTAAAGGGGTACTTTAATAAAATAAGGTTGAGAAACACTGCTCTAGTGGACTACTATGTTTATAAGACTTCATGAAAATCTGCCTTTAAATATTGGGTTATTAAATTCAGAGTAAACTTGTCTTTGTCACCTAAGTATTTTTCTAAGTCATACAGATCTATCTGGGATAGAGAATAAAAGAACACATTTAAGATGACATCTTCTGCACTCTTATTTGTATACCCTACTCCATAGTGTGGAAGCACATGCACATCCAGCAACTATACTTGCAAAACTGTTCACACAAGCCTCTGCTGTCCAACAGGAGCAGAGGCCATTTTGGCAGGGTAGAATTTTTAGGTAAATGTTTTTACCTGCTTGTGGCATAATCTTGCTAGGTATTGAGGGCCTTTCTATACACAAGCTTCAGCGGGGTAGCTGAGTTAGTCTGTAACAGGAAAAACTTAAAGAAGTAGTGAGTTGTGCCCACAAAATCTCATGATACCATCTACATGTTTTGTTAGTGTTTAAAGTGCTACGAGACTATTTGTTGTTTAAGTTTTTTTCTATACACAGTCATAGTGCACAGCAAGCCAGGGTATAAATCTGCACTGCCCAAAGTTGCTGAGCACTAATTGGCTATGTGAAGTCAACTACCCTGCACTAAAAGTTCTGTAGTGTAGTTTGATGGACTGCTGTTTGAAACTCTGCTCTTGCTGAAGTCAATGGGAGTTGAAAACTCTCAGTATCTCAGAGGATCAAGTTCTTGTCTCTCTCAAATTTGGTAAAGATTTTAATATCACAGAGTATAACAGGTTGATATTGTAATATAAAATTACAAGGAAAAAAATGATGACTGTCAGGGCTTGAAAACTCTAGGTATATGGACCTAACTCATGTATGCATAGTTATCACTAAGCATGATTCATGATTGTGCAATTTTGCTACTGTTAAAATGGAAGAAGATGAAAATCAGTTTTTCTATATTTTAGCTATAAAATCCTACTTAAACATGGCATTTATCTCACTGAGTGTACATGACTTTTTAGAGAATGAGGATTAAATCTGCAACCAAAGTGTCATACAGACACTCCTGCATGTGAATAACTGCAACAGGATTCCTTGTTTATTCAGATTAACTGTCCCAATTGCTCCAAAGATCAGTGAAAATGGTAACATTTACTGGGGCAAATATTGTGCTGTACTGATTCTTTCTGAAGACATGGCATTTCCTTGTTTAAACCAGTTTACAAGAAGTTTCCCAGTCTAAACATTCACCTGCCCTTGATTTTACAAATGATAATTTGCTAAATTATAGGAGTGAAATCCTAACCCCAATGAAGTCAAGGAGTATTTTACCACTGGAGTCAGGATATCATGCTTAAAGTTCTCCCAGTTTTCTGTACAGAAATTAAAACCAAAAGTAATAACCTTCAAGTACTTGCAGTTCCATGGCTATAAACCAGCTCCAGTTCCACAAAGAAACGCTTTGCCTAATGTTATTTTTTAAAGGGGATAAGGTCTACTATGAATGTAGCAAATAGACAATGTACAATGACTTACCCTCAGATGTCTGAACAACCACAAATGCAAGACAAAAGAGAGTGACTAGTTTCAAATCCATTCCTTCCAACTGCTGCAGAACTGACTGTAATAGACCAGGTTGTAAGTCAAAGGAAACAAAGGTGAGCCTACCTCTTGGACTGCAGTAAAAGAAACTAACTTTAAAGCTCCACCCTTTGCAGATGCTGCAAGTGGGTTTAAGCTGCAAGGTACTAAGCCAGCAGTTCTCAAACTTTTTGGGCTCCGGAGCCCTTTACATGCGTAAAAATTTATGCAGAGCCCCAGCCGTCCACTGATTGTATGTGTTGTACCCATCGATGTTTCCAGTTTGTCAAGCTAGCGGAGCCCCTGGAGATGTGTTGCGGAGCCTTGGGGTTCCGCGGAGCACAGTTTGAGAAACACTGTAATAAGCACTTTGGTGTGATTTAGCAAAACACTTCAAAATTGTATGCTTGTAAACAGTCCCATTGACTTCTGTAGGACTACTCACATGCTTTTAACTTCAGGCACAGGTTTAATACTTTTACTGGATTGGGTCAGGGAATTCTTGCAGGAAATCCACTTCTGTGTTCTTACCTCTCTATCTTTCTTCTGTGATGGATCTAGCAGCTGCCCACACTTTGGTGGAAGGGTCAGGGCTGGAGCAAACCCCTCCTCCTCCCCAGTCTTTCATGGCTGGCAGCTGGGAACTCTGGTGCTGCAGCAGTGGAAGCTGGGAATCTAGAAATGGGAGACCCTACTGGCCAGGTCACCAACAGGAAGAAGCAAAAAGTTGCCTGGATATGGGCCAGTATCAGCGGCCAGTTCTTATAGGTGCACTGCACTGGTCCACTTTCACCTCTGGGGAAGGCAGAGCTGATCGCTGTGCATCTTGGGATTCCCTCCAAGTTCTCCCACATCCTCCCCAGCTGGCTGGAGCAGCATCATGAGTATCTCTGAGTGCGCCATACTGAGGAATGTCAAAGCAGCACAGCAATCTGTCCCCTTGCCTCTGCAGCAGCAGTCTGCCTGTGTCGGTGTTCCTAGCGCAGAGCAGAACAGAAGTTTTACAATGGTTTGTGTTTTGTTTGTTCCCCAAACAGAGCAGCTCACTCAGAAACTCCCCCCAACTTTGAAAGGGGAGGGGTGCATGCTTGCAGGGCAGCAGAGATCAAAACAGTGATCAGGGCTATTAGGGCAGGCATCGTGGGATACTGGTGGAAGAAACTAGTTCTGTTCACAAAATAAACAGCGGAGTATATACCAGCTCTTTGTTGACAATAAAGGGAGGGGAAAAGAAAAAAACGTATCTTGTAGGAATGAAAGTTTTTTTGTCACTGAAACTGGGCACTGTTTCCAACAAAAGTCACATTGCAACATGAATGCTCTCCCTGTTTGGTCTCCAAAAGCAGTTTTAGGTGACAAAACTTGGTCGTGTAGAGACCTGAGACTGAGAGAGCTGGTTGGAATTTTCCCAAAAGAATGGTCCTCCTGTCAGAAACTGACAATTCACTGAAAGCAAAAAGTTTCATGGAGATAGATCAATTTTGATTAAATTTCATTTTGAAAAGAACACACATTTGATTTTCCATTTTGAAATGACATAGTATGCAAAATAAATAAACTCAACATTGGAACAAAATGATTTGATTATCAAAATAATTTTGTCAACCTGAAACATTTCTTCCTTTAGAATTTAATTTCTCCCCCCGTCCGATATTTTAAAAAAATATATTGTTCTATTTCAGAACAAAAAAAACAGTCAAACTCACAGAATTTCATATAAAATGGAAAATCAAGTTCTAGGTCCTAATTTGTTAGGCAGTTCCTATTGAGCAAGGCACTTAAGCACACGCTGAAGACCCACTGATTTAGTGGGACTCTCACAATATTTTACCTTTATAATATTAGGCGTACCTTTTTTAAAAATTCTACTCTAAGCTCAACTAGAAATATGAACTTGCTGCAGAAATCACTTGGTGAATTTTTTTGGTCTGTGTTATGCAAGAAAGATCAGTGGCTCTTGGCTCCCTGATAGCCTGGAAATGCCCACTGGGAAAGGTGTGTGGGGAAAGGGGGGACTCCATGCTCACTGAAGGGGCGGGGCCTCACACAGAAGGGGTGGGGTTTGGGAAGCCAGCCTGCAGTGAAGACCAGAGTGAGAGGCACCCTGCTAGCCCTCAGAGCCATACAGTATGCTGTGCAGCACTCCGACCGCAATGTAAAGGGCCCAGGGCTCTGGCTATTGCCACTGCTGCAATGGCGGTAGCAGGGGCTGGAAGCACCAAGTCCCATAAAATTGCCAGGCCCAGGGGCAGTTGCCCCCTTTGCCCTTCCCCGGTTGGTTGGCCTGGAGATTACTGCGCCACTTTCAAGAGCCTGATTGGTCTTGCACACTCCCAAGTTTGTCCTCATTTAAAAACTGCTTGCTTACAAAATCAGACATCAAAATGCAAGTGTCACAGCACGCTATTACTAGAAAATTACTTCCCTTTCTCACTTTCTCCATATAATTATAAAATAAATCAATTTGAATAGAAATATTGTTCTTACATTTTAGCATAGAGCAGTATAAAGTGAATCATTGTCTTCATGGAATTTTAGTTTGTACTGGCTTCCCTAGTGTTTTCTGTAGTGCCTCTCATAAAACTAGGCAAATATCTAAATGAGTGGATGAGCCCCGGGTTAAGAACCACTGGGCTAGATTATCATAATGGCCCCTTCTTGATCTTAAAATCAGAGAATGCTGCCAGACAGTTACTGTGAATATGGGAACAGCTATTCTTCTTTGAGTGGTTGCTCATGTCCATTCGAATTAGGTGTGCGCACCGCGTGCACTGCATCTTCTGGAGCATTTTCCTTAGCGGTACCTCGAGTGGCGCCGCCATGGCGGGGCATAAGTATCCCTGCCGGTGCTCCCCTACCTCAGTTCCTTCTTACCGCCCGTGATGGTCATTGGAGCGTGTCTCTCTGTTAGAGCAGTTAATGGTTCCCATTTCTCTTAGTATTGTACATAGTTCTAAATAGTTCAATTAGTTAGATAGTTAGTGTCTCTTTGTTTTTCTTTTCCCCCTTCAGGGGTGAGGAATGCCAGGGCCGCAAGGCTTTAAGGCGTGCACTGTCTGTGCGAAGTTTATGCCCAAAGGAGACCCTCATGATAGTTGTCTGAAGTGTCTGGGTGAGGGCCACCTTACAAACACCTGTAAGATCTGCAAGTCGTTTAAGCCGCACACTAAGAGGGAGAGAGACTCTCGTTTAAAACTTCTCCTCATGGAGGCGGCTTTACAGCCGGCACAGGCTGGGCACTCTGCGGTGCACAGTGCACCAGCGTCCATGCGGGATGCTCCATCCCGAGGCCAGGCCTCGGCGTCGAGGGCCCGGCACCAGTCTCACTCTCCGGCACCGAAGAGGTCAAGAACATCTTGTGGTAGGTCTCCGAGCCGAGTATCCAAGCAGTACCGAGTCTCCGTTGCCCATGTCCTCATCTACCACTGTGCATCGTAAGCGAGCGGGACGCCCATCCAGCCCAGGGCAGCTACCCTTACACCGCCCCTCCACGCCAGGGTCTTTGCAAAATACATGGCAGTCGTAGCGGTGTTCCTCTGCCAAAAAGGGGTACACGTCTTTCCATACCTAGATGGCTGGCTGATTTGGTCATTCCTACGAACAAGTGGAGGCCCATGTTTCCTTCACAAGGGCCCTCTTCGTAAGGCTGGGACTCATGCTAAACGAGGAAGAGCAATCACATGCAGCCAGCAACTCTCCTGTTTGTACAATAGTTAAGACAACATCCAGAATCCTTTGCCAATCTGCATGTGTAACAAGGACTTACAGCAGTGTTTTATAGATGTTAGCTGTTCTCACCATAACACAGAAAAATAAATGACCGAGTAAGAATAAAAGAAAGCTTATAAAGTAGATGTTACAGCAGTATGCTCCAGGTTAGAAAGTTGGTTGTAACAGATTTAAAGGAGAACCTGTTTGCCAGCTGCTGGGCACAGACAGGACCTGGGATGCTCTCTAGCTCACAGAATAACTAAATAGCATGTCCTTACATAGTGTTGCTCATCTTGGAGTAGGATCTGAACTTTGTAGTGTATGTCCATTTTTAATGTTACTACTGAGGATCTGACCCGGCTCCTCTTGTAATCAATGGCATAAGTTGGAGTTTGGTGGGAGTGCAAACAGATCCCTGCACAGGAGGTTGCAATGGAAGATAGATAATAAAGAACCATATTTCCACATTGCATGAGATCAGCAGTATTTTCTGTTCCTTACTCAGATATATGCACATCTCCACTGTGTTTCCAATAATACAATTATTTTATTTTTCCTAAAAGACATAACAACTGTATGCAGAATAAAACCAAGTGCTTCCAAAGTGTTATGATTTTACTCAAAGTTTCACAGTATTCATGAACATAAGAATGGCCATACTGGGTCAAACCAAAGGTTCATTCAGCCCAGTATCCTGTCTGCCGACAGTGGCCAATGCCGGTGCCCCAGGGGGGGTGAACCGAACAGGTAATGATCAGGTGATCTCTCTCCTGCCATCCATCTCCACCCTCTGACAAACAGAGGCTAGGGACACCATTCCTTACCCCTCCTGGCTAATAGCCATTAAAGGACTTAACTCTGTGAAAACTTGGAGGTTTGCAAAGCCATTTTTCTGTATTTCCTGGAGCTAAAGCAAACAAAAAATGTACTTGCTTCAACAGCAACATACAGGAAGGGAGATGGGGTTAGTTCAAACAGGTATCTTTTTGTCCTCTTTATGAATACTATATAAAGTAGTTCGTGCCAGCAATTTTACTTAGCATAAAACTATTTATAGGTGAATATTACATAGAACATTTAAACCCAACAGAATCCATTCTTATGTCACTGAGAATTTTAAAAACAAAGTCAGAGTCAAGAAACATGAATGAGCAATAACATATTAAATTATAACTGTCTAACATCCAGCTATCACTGGAGAACGTGTTAACCAACACAACGTCTTTCCAGAACTGTGCTTAGTGTTGGACATCTGATTGGTCCAAAACTAATTGGTCAACTAACTGCTCAAATATTTTGAAGAGCTAGTATATTAAAATAGTAACCACTAGAACAACAACAAAAAAGAGAAAGAGTTATGGATCCCACAGGCTTATCCTTCACATAGATATTTATGGCTAATTTTAAAAAAATTAAATTACTTAACTGAGCTATTTTAATATAGAAAAATGTGAAACATTTCAATGAAGTTCCCAAAAAAATGAAAGTAAGTATCACCTTTTGAGAAGTTACATTC